GACAATGCAAGTGTTGAAAATAGTTGGTGCAAGGACACAACCTTGCCTCACTCCTGAACTAACAGGAAAGAAGCTCGACAGGCCCCCACCACACTTTACAGCACTTTCAGTACCAGTATACAGGCTTGCTATTAGTCCAATAATCCTTGTTGGTATTCCTCTCAGCCTCAGGATCTCCCAAAGTGACTCCCGATGCACCGTATCGAACGCCTTCTTGAGGTCGATGTAGGCTGCAAGCAGCCCACGCCCGAACTCACGACGGCGCTCTACAATGACTCGAAGCGCGAGGATTCGGTCTATGTGGACTTACCAGGAGTGAATCCGGATTGCTCCAGTCTCTGGTGCCTCAGTAGATGGTCTCTGATACGTCTCAGAAGGATGTGGGCGAGAACCTTGCCTGGTATACTGAGCAGTGTGATGCCTCGGTGATTGCTGCAGTCCCAACGGTCCCTTCCCCTTCCAGAGAGGGATGACCACACCCCTCAACAGGTCAGGAGGAACGGAACCAGACTGCCAGATGGCAGCCAGGACAGCATGTAACCAGCATGGAGGGAGGGTCCTCACTGATAGGTGGATCCGGCAGCGGGATCTCGACACTACCCGCATCCAAGTTAACTGTTGGTGGGTCAACCTGGTACAGCTGCTCAAAATACTCAGCCCAACGTTCCCGCACCGCAACAGGATCTGAAACGATCTGACCACTTACTGAGCGAACTGCTGTCACCTGTGAAGAGGGCTTGGAGTTCAGCTTTCTCAGGGCTTGGTATGCAGGACGAAGGTCATTTACTAAGAAATGGCCTTCTACCTCCTCTGCAAGACTCCTAATAAACTGTTCCTTGTCCCTTCTTAACAGGGACCGAGTTCTGCGCACATGAGACCGGTGCAATTCCCGATCCCCTGTCAGACGAGCCGCAAACATGCATCTGTGGCTTCCAGTGTCTCCTGCGAGATGGAATTCTGTACTGCTCTCGGGCGTACACCAATCGTATCTTGAGCTGCATCAAGCGTTTCACGCTTAAAGGTATCCCACAGAAGAACAGGGTCTGTCAGACTGCCAAGCACTGCGAAACGATCAGAGATTGCCTCAGCAAACCCGCGGGCACACTCCCCCTCCTCAGCCTGTCCAAATGAAACACCCTAGGGTGATCATTTGACCGCTGGGGGGTTTTGAAGTGGACCCGGAGGGTAGCCACAACCAATCTATGGTCAGTACCACTCCTGTACACCTTGCAATTCTGAAGGATCCTCCAACGAGTGCTAACAAGTATGTGGTCGATCTCCTTGGCTGCGTTACCCGCATCACTGTACCATGTCCAGCGATGTGGGTCTGGGCGCTGGTACCAGGAGCCAGAAATCCTCAATTTCTGGGACCTAGCAAAGTCCCGGAAAAGGAGGCTATTCTCGCTACCGGCATCAGCTCCTGAACCATGGGGACCGACAGACATCTCATAGCCAGCTCGATCACAGCCAGATACCGCATTGAAGTCGCCCAGAACAATGCGAATATCTCGTCGGGGACATCTGTCTACCACAGATGTAAGTTTGGCGTAGAACATCTCTTTCACGTCAAGTTTACAAACATCGGTAGGAGCGTACACAGCAATAAGAGACATGAAGCCAAAAGAAAGCTTCAATCTCAATACCATTATACGCTCATCAACAGGAGTAACCTCTACTACCGAGGGCTGGAGTCTGCTGGAGATGGCAATGGCTACTCCCTGGAGATGGTGGCCATCGCTGCGGCCCGACCAGTAATAGGTGTAGCCACCTACACAGGTCATGCCGCTGCCAGGCCTCCTCACCTCCGAGAGAGCAGCCACCTCAACTCTCAGCCTCCCCAGTTCCCTCGACAGTAGAGGCAACCGATCATCCTGACGCAAAGAACGACGTTCCAAGCCCCACCCTAACTTCCCGCCTGAGGTTCAGCCTCTGGCAGTCGCTCCGGGTGGATGCCACCTCTGCCACCCCCACCGACGCTGCCCCATATAAAAGGGGGTGGCGGGCTGCGTGCCCCATCATCCACCTGTGGGGTTCCGAGGGCTTTCCCCCACAAGCTTCACTCTGGGCTGGCGGCCACCAGAGCGCAGGCGAGACGGGTAGTTCCCGTTCCCAGCCTGCGCTCCAGCAGTCGCCGCTCCCAGCAGGGCCCACAGTCCGCCTCACTTGCTGGGTGGGAGGGGCTTTTTCCCCTCCTCCCCAGCCTTTCCATTTAATTTTGCACTGCCGATTGGTTTATATCTGGGGGGAGGAGGACTGGCAAGGCCCACCTCCCCGAGCCTCCATTAACCCAGGGGGCTAGGGGGCAGGAGTTGGTACAGGGCCAGGGCGTGTCCACACGCCGGTGGGCCATGGCCCTGACCTCTGGGGCCTCCTGCTGCTCCGAGATCCCCCTCAGTTTAGCCTGGAACCGCAAGGTACCCAGTTTCCATGGGCGGCCACGAGGAGGCACTGCAGGGAGTCTCGATGATGGAGAGGCTATGCACTGGCAGGGGGAGGCTTATGCAGAGCTGCTCCCTTTTTCGCATGAGGCTAGCCAGCGGTGGCAGCTGTAAGCGAGAAGGCATGCAGAAGCTCTTAACACTAACTAGACTACCACTCCATCGCTTCACACCACCCTGCGCATGAAGCACCCACCCAACGTTAGTTGAACGTCTATAATTACTGGATATAGAATCATAGCAAATTCTTCTCTTATCATATATTTGTAATAAGGCGATTGTACATGTTTACCATTTTCTATACTATAAGAAATTACCTTATTTGTAAGGATCATGAGAAGGCGCCAAAATACTCCAACAAAGTCAACGAATAGATTCAAACTGTGCATCACATAGTCCATATCTCCTCGGCGTGCTCTCTCAACAATGAACTGAGTGTCATAGACTATAAAGCCACACATGACTGCTAGACCAATGTACAAATTTGCCTAAAAAAAATAAGACAGACATAAAAAGCATAGAAATAATAATTATCAGAATAATAATACTCATTGATTTATAATAAAAAAAGACAATCTCCATTATTAGACTTACCTTAAAAAGGAGTTGAGAGCCAAAGAAGATATTATATATCGAAACCCAAATGAGGGTTAACAATACCGACATCAGTGTACCTCTAAGATAGAGGTAATGACCATCAGGAGCATAGAGAGCTGATAGGGAGAAGCAAGCAAATATCACACTTGCGCCGAGCAGAGCTTGCAAAACCTATAAAAAATATATATATATATAATAAATTAAAAGTCAGTCAATATAAATATAGTTAAACGTTCAAATATTAATGACATAACTATATGAATAAAATGACGATGTGTATCCTTAATAGATTCACTTACCAATGCAGGGTTGATAGTCACAGCCAGATTCAAAAATGGGCCAAGGTTACAGCCAGTCAAGAAGGCAAAGATACCAAGGAGAGAAAGTCTCTGCAGCTGGTTTTTGCCATCATAAGGTGTAAATACGAGTAATATTAATACCCAAATGGCACTCAGAAAAGTCATCAATCCAGAACTAATAAATGTGCTGAACATGTGGGCATAGCCACCAACAGAGGCTGCTATGGTAGCAAGGGTGAGAGTAGCATATACATTCTTCAAGTGTATCCTCACTGGAGTCTCATATTTATTTTTTAAATTCATATTCTTCAAATATATCCTGACTGGAATATCCCTGTAAAGATATAAATATATATATATATATATATATATATATATATATAAAAAATATAGTCTACAAAAATAACCCTCTTTCATATAACACAAAAAGTTTGTTTCCATTATTTCATCACTATAACCATTACGGTATTAATATAATGTCATATAAATTTTCTAACATTATTTATATGCAGGCAAGTATGGGTTGTCGTTATGAAGAGATTAACACAAGACCTTGATTAATACAAGAGACTTTGTATCTCTTGTAGAAGAAACACGAGTATTAAACGGTAAAGAATATATCCACCCCGATATATATATATATATATATATATATATATATATATATATATATATATATATATATATATATATATATATATATATATTTTATAAAATGAATAGACAATTAAAGCAAAAATATCTTCTCGTCATTACCGGAATTAAACACAACAAAAAGCTGAGGAAACAAACGACCTCCTTAATACGGAAAACCGATACAGTGAGTGGAAAGAAAAAGATTCAAACATGTTAATAAATAGATAAAAGTAGATTTCTCTTAATATTAATGCATCTGTTTCTTTATTCCCATGGAATTATCGACAGCTATGTCGATATAGACTTCTGGTTCGGATTACTAAAACGACGCGAGATTAAAGTAATAACATTTTCCGACGAGCGAAATACTGGGAAAGTGAAGAGGAGATGAGTCGGTTTTTGACCGAGTCAATAGCCGTAGATCGCATTTATTATTATGCTGCTAATGGGAGTATATCCGTACCCAATATTTGTTTTCTTTTAAGAACGCATTATAGAAGAAGACCGCTATATGTAGAGATAATGTATTTTGATAATAGGTTAATAAAAAGTAGCATTATCTTAACTTATGACACGCAGCGTTTTATGGATTCCATAATATCTTCTTACAATGAACGTGAAACAATATTTAAGAAAGTGTTCAACGACGACATTAACATACAAAGGTCTTGGAATAACGTTTCGTCGTTAGAACGTCTCTGTTGTTTAACCATGGGTAAATACTGGAATACCTTAACTTCAGTATTTATCGGTACCTCGGTTAATTAGGAATAGTATAGATAACACTTTGCAAGCTCAAGAGATTGAAAATAGATATGAAAGGAAAATTTTCAAGAGAAACATGCAAGAAAAGTATGCAAAGCGACTTTGGTAAGTGAGTATTATTAACATATACACACTATATATATATATATATATATATATATATATATATATATATATATATATATATATATATATATATATATATATATATATATATATTTGGAGAGGGTGTATGTTTATATCATCAATTCTAATACAATTATCAGAAATAAAAGATATAAAATAAACTGCATTGCCAGCCAATCTTACTTAAAGCGAAGAAAAGGGTTGAGAGAGAGAGACACGAATGGAATAATGCTTGATAATTTTTTTTTGCAAACAAAATGTTTATTAGACCAATTTAACGCGAGGAGACATGGTGTAACTACACTTGTTTCTCCTGACGAACACAAATACTGGGAAGAAAAGCCACCATACGATATTAGAATTGTACCAGAATCTGTAGCCTATACATATCATTTTACGTTTATTCGAAAAGGTAAAGATAAGTGCGACTTCCATCTTCTTCTTAGATTACGATGCAGATTAGGGTCTCAACTGCTATACGTTGAAATTATGTACTTTGAAGATAAAAAGGACGAAAGTTGTATATACTTCACCTTTGATAACACGCGCTTTATAGACTCGACATCGTCTTCATCATCATTGAATTCTTTTCTGTTTTGATGATATAGGAATACAAACAAAACTAGAAGAAAAGAGAAAGCTGTTTTATAGACATCATCTGTTAAGATATTTATATATGTAAAATATAGTGATTACGAAAGCGCTATAATTAAGCTAGATAGTTTATATTTGAGAGATCCAAATGAACTTTATTCAAGGCATTTGTTACTTAATAGGAAACAAAACTTAAACGAATCTCTAGAAGAATATTTACAAGACCTCAAAAAAATGAGGAAGGATCATAACTTCAAGATGATATAGAGTGTAGAAAAATATCGTTAAGAATTCGTCCGTGATGCTTTCATCAACGATATCGCTTCACCACCGATAAGGCAACATCTTTTTAGAGAATAAGAATCTTGATCTGGACGGTATTTATGAGCAAGCCCTTGCACTAGATGCGGCCCAACGTCATGTCAATGACTGTGTTTCAGAAATTAATAATACACCTCTTCAGATTATTCAACAAGTCAATCATTTGTCGTACATGACAAGAATATAATCAGGTAAATGTCATTGTTGTCTATCTAACTACAGACAAACAGATAGACTGACTATAAAGAAGCTCCTCAGAAATCGACAAAAAGTTAAAGAAAAAAAAAAGATAATCTTGGAAATTTGTCTCTATTCCTGAGAGTTGACATAAACATTATACATAAATATATGTATATAAGATGTAACTGGCTGATGTAAAAAAACAGAACAAAACATATAATGGAAAAGAAAGAAGAGAAGGCGATTAAGGTTTGGTCAGCAGACCGCAAACTTCGTCACGGAGTCGTAGCCGAGAGCTTCCAGGATTTCATAGAAAAAGGTGCGGCAAAATTGGGCATAAGAGATACAAGTTCTATAACGGCAACATTGTTTGATGGAACCATCATTGACGACGATTACTGGAAGACTACCAAACCATACCAGACTCTTCTTCTCAACACCACCTAAGACCACAATTGAAAAAGATGAATTTACGTACGATGAGATCGATTAATTATTTAAATGAAGATATATATACAGAAAAACGAAAAGAGTGAGTATGATTAGTGTGTAGATAGTATACTTATGGCGTCGTCTTCTGTGGATGAGTATAATCGGTTAGCTTCACACTTGTCAGTATCCCTAGTCTCCTATTATTTTACGTGTACAAGAAAAACGGATAACTATATTGTTCCTGTTCGTGCAATCATTCAATCTCTTGGTCCGTTGGTTAACGGTGCTGCCAATCATACTGCCGATTCTATCGCATCCATCAAACCCGCTTTCGACGAGATAGAAAGGAATCGTCAGAACAGGACATTGACAGTGGTCGTCGGCGTTTATACACACGGCCGTCAACTCAACTATACGAATATACCTTCCACCTTGTTACAATCCTCAAAAACGAGATGGAACGCGTTCGCGGCTGACATCAATGAGAGGGTAATCGATCTAACAGATGGGAAGGTTAGGCAACTGTTTCGACATAATGACCCTGATGAAACCACAATTACACCCGCAAAGGATGACGCATACATTGTCGGTAAGACTTTTCTGCAGGATAAGTGGATGCAACCCCTCTTCAACTTCTGTGACGAAGTAATGTTTTTCAGGCCAAAATTGTTCTTCTCCAAACATCTCCGTCAATGGGAATGGTATTGGGATATAAGCGCTCGACACGGCGGTGTGACCGGCTGTATAAAACATATGAAGAGGTCGGCATTTGAGGATAAACTCGATGCCACTATAATCGAAATGGACCTTCAGCAAGGTGGCTTCTATTGTATCATGCCAAGAGAACATGCAACACTAGATAAACTCATAGATTTTGCATTATTGTTAGATTGGGTGAATCTACGACAATCCATATACCAGAGCAGAGGTATAACCAGAATAATAATGCCCGAGGTCACCATCGAAAACTATTGCATAAATTTAGCCGATGTTTTGGTCGCAATGGGAAAAGAAAAAACGTTAGGATTGTCTACACTGTTTTCCGGAGACAGAGACGTGTCTGCCATGTACAAGAAAGATGCAACCGTGTCCGAGTCTAACGATGACCTGGGATTATCCAAGTTGTTATTTATAGAGGAAGATGATGATCCACCTGTCGTCGACCGCATCTCGTTGGAGGCGGAATCATGCGCTATTATTAACCATAGAGGAATTAACATTTGTCACATGGAACAGAGTCACAATGACATGGGTAATCGTGTCATCAGAAATGAGAATCGTATTCCTGACTGTCTATGCAATTACAATGATGATATTATTATCGATAGGCCATTTATTTTTGTCGGTGATGAGAATGGTATGATTATCGATGTGGGAATTTTTTTTAGGGAGGTGATGAGGACGGAGAGAGGTTTCTTGTAGAATATACATATATGTATATATAATATAAAATAAAGTCGATATCACAGTATCATAGTACCTTGCGTCTTTTTTTTCCATATTATATGTGTACTGGTTTGAACATCATCATCTCCAATATAGCCTGATTGCAGAGTTGATAGTGTCTGAGGTATTTTTCAAAAACCTCTACTTTGTTCTTTAATCATTCCGACGAATGTTAAAGCAATGTTTTAAACCATTATATATCGTTTCTTAGAGAAGATCTATCTAGACGTTTTGTTGATTATATCTTATAATATTAGTTAAACCTCAATATAAATATAACTAATCTTAAAAAACATCCTTGTTCGAACTATCAAATGGCCAAATTCATACTTCGTTCAGTCTTTGAGGTTTACTGCTCTGATGATTTGTGTTCCAATGTCTATCACGCGAAAGAAGAGTGTTGTTAATGCACCTAGGCAAGGTGCAAATGCGTAAGACATTTGTTAACATTATACCATACTTTGGATGCCGAGGATTCGAAGAGGACGAGGATGAAAATTATGATCGTCCTTATGCTGATATTCAACACAATCATTTTTATCGATATTGCTCTACTTTATTAGATGAAGAAGGTCTTGTATCTAAATATCTTGCCAATAGATATTTCAAGTCTTACACATCTGAAAATATTCATCTCGAAACTATTTATCGGGAATGTTTAAATAGGAAAAAGGCTTGAGGAAAAATATCTATGTATGTTTCCCATCTCTAGCAAATAAATAAAAGTGATTAAATGTTGCTGCTTTAGTATATCATCTATCAATGTTCAGTAATTTTTCTTAAAATTAATTTTTTACACTTATGGTAAAAATTTACATTTACAATTTATAAATTGTAGAAGGATCGGGACTATAAAATAAATATAATTATAAGAAATCGATTCCAATCTTTATATATATAAAAAAAAAATACGATTTAAGAATAAATAAACACTTCACTATGGATAGTATTCAAACTTATATACATAAGTTACAGTCATTGTTAAGTACATGTAATAAGAAATTTACTAATATTATGAAGAGTTTGACCATTGACATAGACTATCTGGAAAATCTACATAATATTGAAATTGCGTGTCTTAAGTGCCATTATGATGGTACCGAGTTTGCTTTTGTCGCGTTTAGTAAAGAAATGAAGAATTTCATACATAAAAAGCTTAAGATAATCAACATTTATGAGATTATTAAAGAAGCGAGCGAAAAAATTACCACTCATTATGATCATCTTTGTATTACTAATAAAAATAAAAATAAAATAGATGATGATGTTGTTAATAAAACTTCTAACAATAATATCCAAATATACCATATGCCCGATTGGAGACTAAAGTCTGTAGAGTGTGCGCTTTATGCTTTAAAAGATATAGAGTATGATCTGAATGACGTTACAGATTATGAATCTGTCGAACATCTACAAGACCATATAGATCATGTTTATAATATCTCTTGTACCAATATTGAAGAATGGTCAAATAAACTATTGAATGCGATCAAAAAATATAACATGTATCTTCAATTTATTTCAGAAATTGTAAAGAATATAGACAATAATACAAAACATATATTAGCTACATTAAAATCTAAGAAACAACTTGTATCTGACAATATCTGCAAACCGGTATTCGATCACATTATATTACCATACCCGAGACACTCCAAACGATCAAAACACTACGATCCCAACGAATTGCCAGACATATAAGACACTACGACTCCCGGACGTGTCGATGTAAATATATTATCGCGTTGGTATAGCCACTCTTTTCATTCTTGTTTTGGGTATTGGTCATCTTTGTCGTATATTTAATCATATCTCAATTTAAGAATACTGGCTTAAGAAAGATTTCTCA